GATCACAAACACATGAGGAGGTGGCAGTTTAGCGACCGGGAAGTTCTTCACAATAACATGTGCACTTTCGTTTTTCAGAAGAGCCTATTGGTTAGGACTATTGTTTGCATGGCAATGTGCCTCTGGACAAGACACCAGCGCTCGCAACCATTTATAGAAAAACAAAGGAACACAAAGGGCCAGGTGATGTTTTGTTTCCTGTTTCCAAGAACATCCTATTGGAAGGAGACGCTGACAGCTTGTCAGGGCTAAGCAAACAGTAGGACCCCCGTCTACCTGCCAATTAGTAGCTCTGTCTATTGCAAGTTTTTATTAGAGCACTGCCTTCCATAGGGTGCCATTATTCATTTCACCCTAATGCATCCATGGTCTGAAGAAAATACTGGATGGAGGGCTTACCTGAAACAGCACTTAGGTTCTAATCTCTATGCATCCAAATGTACACGGTCACAAACAGATGGGTTCATTTGTATGCTGTTTTGTCTTCATGCATATCTAGCTACCTATCATTTCAATTTATGGGAAACAGCATGCCTTATTAGCCTAGCTAACATTTCCTCAGCTTTTCAATTATGACTCCTCTTTTCTCTGAAAGGCAATATAGCTATTATTTAAATTTGAGAACCACCCTACCCTTGTGTAAGAGTGGGTCGGCTGGTGTTGGGTTTTTTCCCTATGCAAATATATATACATCTGTGTACAAAATAACATCAGTTTGAGGCCTACACAGAAAATAGCAATGAACGGATAACTTTTCTTTCATTTAAAATGAGCTATTTGTTTACCTTGAAGGTTGTGACTTAATTAGAAGCCACTGGTGATGAAGAAACTGCTTAAGTTTCACAAGCTTGCAATTCATAAGCATGAGACAAAAATCAGTCAAGAATCTCATAAAGAAACACTGGTGATAATGGTATAGTCAAGTCCTTCCAAAACACTCACTTAGCCTTTGAAAGAGAAGTGCAAAGGAGAATTCTTGAATGGGTTATTTCTTGTTGTGTTCTGACACACGTCCTCAAGGGCTGCCATTTAATCAGTGCAGAGATTTACAGAGAATGGCATTCACAGGTAGGCAAGTAAGCAGAAATCATGGGTGGTGTTCAAGTTCAAGAAAACATGTGTAGCATTTATGACAAATGGTTGTGTCGACATCCTTTAAATGGAGAAAATTCTATCTCAAAAGCTTAGTGTGAAAAATCATGTTTAATACTTTGTGAGTTGGAGTAGGCAAACACAGGGAGGGTGGTATTATCATTATTATAAGAGGAAGTTGAATGGGAATGCAGCTATTTTCTTTCTGAGTTTTGCAAACATTTTCTACCAACAAAAGAGATATTTCATGGAGCAAGGGAAAATGCAAACTTTGTACTGGTAACTTTGAGAGGCACGATTTTATCCTACTTACATATCCCTGAGAGAATATTAAACAATTTTTCCAGCTTGGATGGTTTCCCTCCAGAAATTCCCAGACAAATGCTCCTTTGGGAAGTGATCAGGTCTTGGGTGAGAAACCACTGCAGAACAGACTGAATGGTCAGATGTAAGGATGGAAGATGAACCAAAATCAAAACTCTCTAGTCCCTCCGTTCCACACCAGATATACTCACTTCTCCTATCCCCAAAAGGAAATAACGCCACCAAATTCCTCATTTCCTTAGAACAAGGAAAGTTTTGTGCAAAAGGCTCTAGAAATCAACCACTAAGTAAGTACTAAGTTCCTACCATAATGAAGGAGAAAGAGCAGGAGGGTGATGGTCAAGTGAGAGATGGGGTTGCCACCCCTTCTCTCAAGGAAGAAATCTGCTCAGCTATATCTGTCTGCAGGGCATTTACCGATTTTCTGATTGAGACCTCAATGGAAGTTCTTAGAACATCATGATGGAGCTAAAAAAAGTTTACCTTTCTTGGTTAAGAAACAAATAAGCAACTGAACTTGTTTTAAGAGTTAAGTAATCCTCTCTGAGAGTACAAGTGCTCTTCAGTCCTCAGTAGACAAGTTCTTCCCTCCACAAGAAGGCAGGTCTTTGCAGTAGAGGGTATTATCTACGGGGTCAACCTGGCATTTAAGTTCTTCTGAGTCCTACCCACTCTACTTTCTCCCATTTTTTTATTCTAATCAAATATATTTTCTGAACACTCCCTACTTTTCCTGAATCCCAGGCTTTGGTAACAGTTTCTCTTCCCTTGGCTTGCCTTTCATCAGTCCTCTGACACAGGGCATCCTTTTTTCAAGAATTAACTCTCATGTCAGCAGCTAAATGAAGACCCCCTTACACACTAGGCAGGACTCCATCCTGTGCTAAGATCGCAGCAATACACATGGCCAGCATGCTTAAGCAGGCATTGCTTGGATTTCTGGTGATATGTGGACTAAGCTCCTTATCTTGACTATGATCTCCCAGAGAGCTGGGGCCACGTGATAAGCCTCTGTGTACTCATTAAAGTATCTGGAAAATTCAGTTAAAAGAGAAGAGCAGCCATAACAGAGGCCTAATTTAGTGCTGCCAGGTACTAGCTGTGTAGACTTGAGCAAAGAACTTAATATGTCTGCATTTCAATGCCATTATAAACATGTGATAAAGAGTACCCACATACATAGGGTTGTTAAAGAACTAACTTAGATAATTCGTGTAAAGGATTTAGAATGGTGCCTGGAATATAATTCCTCAAAACTCCTGACTATCATTAGTATTAAGTAATTTCATGCTTCTAATTTATCCAAAAAGTATATAATCAGTAGTAAAGGGATGATAAAGAATTACAATGGGAACTTGTACAAGCTCATTCTTGAGTTGGTAGAGTACTTTTCCTTACAAATGGCTCCACGCATCTTTTCAAAATTTAATCTCATAATCTCTCTGTATGAAGACAGAGTGGTAGATAAAACCACTGGACTTTATGTTACCTCAGGCTCTAAGAAACTGATGATATTTGACCAGTTTTGACCAACAAAAATGGCAAAATGATAAGGTTTAACTTAATAACTGAGAGAAACCTTCTTAAGTCCTTGCCAGGGTGACTTAAGCTTGAATTTGGCACCTGGAAGTCCTGTATCTTTTACTGGTTACAATCTGATGCTTCCCAGTAAAACTCTGACTTTAAAAGGGTGAGTCTCCCAAAATCAAGCATCTGGGAGTTAAGCCAGAGTCCATCCTCCAGCTCATGGCTCATCCCAACAACTGTACTCTAGATAGCATACCCTTTACTGCCAAATTTTCACTCTCAAATATTCACTCTGCTGCATCTGAAGCCTGAAATTCTTCCCCTTCAGCATATAAACACACATGATACTTATTCATCCCCTGCCAAAAGCCAAAACAAACAACAGAATCATCATCATCATCATCATCAAAATATATTCTCACAAATCTTTCTCATCATCATCATCATCAAAATATATTCTCACAGATCTTTGTCCTCACTGGAGGGTCATGCATATACACACTCAACCTCATTCCATAATTGACTTTATTGAGAGTTATCTACACTGTCTCCACTTCACTCCATTGCTTATCATTCATTCATTCATTCATTCATCATTTCGTTCATAAATCTACTGTAATCTACCTTTCAATCCCACTTCTCTTTTGAATCTGCTCTGATACAGATCACCAATGACCTCCTTTACTCCTCTATATTGCTTAATCTTAGATTGTTTTTCATTCCATAACTAATTTGGTCTGATTATAGAATTTGGTGCTATTGATCACCCCTTTCTTCAGCATCCATGAAAACATTTCTCCTGGGGCGCCTGGGTGGCTCAGTCGTTAAATGGCTGCCTTCGGCTCAGGTCATGATCTCGGGGTCCTGGGATCAAGCCCCACATCGGGCTCCCTGCTCAGCAGGAAGGCTGCTTCTCTCTCTCCCACTCCCCCTGCTTGTGTTCCCTCTCTCGTTGTGTCTATCTCTGTCCAATAAATAAAATCTTTTTTATTATGTTATGTTAGTCACCATACAATACATCATTAGTTTTTGATATGGTGATCCACTGTTTTCGTATAACACCCAGTGCTCCATGCAGTACGTGCCCTCCTTAATACCCATCACCGGGCTAACCCATCCCCCCACCCCCCTCCCCTCTAAAACCCTGTTTGTTTCTCAGAGTCCATAGTCTCTCATGGTTCATCTCCCCCTCTGATTTCCCCCCCTTCATTTTTCCCTTCCTTCTCCTAATGTCCTCCATGCCATTCCTTATGTTCCACAAATAAGTGAAACCCTATGATAATTGACTTTTGCTGCTTGACTTATTTCACTTAGCATAATCTCCTCCAGTCCCATCCATGTTGATATAAAAGTTGGGTATTCATCCTTTCTGATGCATAAAATCTTAAAAAAAAAAAGAAAAATTTCTCCTGTGTTTTTATTGTTTTGTCTACTTCTTGGTCTGTTCCATAATTTATTTTCTGCTCTGTGTGTTGGTATTTAACAGTGTTCTGCAGGAATCCCCGGTTTCTCCTTGTTGTACCCACTCTTCTGAGGCATTGGGACCACTGCCACGGCTTCACCTACCATCTAATGGCTAATGTGTCCAAATCTAGAGTGTCAGCCCAGACCTCTGTCCTGACCATCAGATGAATATATCTGAAAAATCATCATCTCTGCTTAAATATTCACAGACATTTAAACTCAAATTATCTAGAACTGAAATTCGTATCTACTACATGAACCTAACATTCTTCTTGTGGCAATTTCCATTTCCTGTATTTTGGATTCTTAATCTTGTCTGCTTGAACTCACAGGTCCTTCCTGGTTTTTTCTGCTTATCTGAGCCCCCACTCCTACCGCCCTTTTCTAATCATCATACTTCCCCATCTAAATTTCTGGCCTACCACTGCTACCTAAGGGTTAGATGATGGGATGTGTAATAAATGGATGTATAGATGAATAAATGGAAGAGGAAATGGGTAAATGGGTATAAAGTCATGCAGAAAAACTTGTCCCAACACTTTCCACTAAAAAAAAAAAAATTGCTTATTAATAGGGTAGGGAGCTGTCCTTACCACAAATGTCTGACTGGTAGAGGTGTGTGTTTCATGGCCACGAGGGCGCCACCCCAGTCTAGGAACCAGACATTGTACTCTTCATCAAAGATCTGGAACAACAACAACAACAACAACAACAACAATCTTAGCAACACCTTACATTTGCATAGTGCTTACAGTTTACAAAGTCTTTCACAAATATTGTTTCATCTAGGTTCTGAGCCTTCCAACAACCCTATCAGGTAGTTTGGCAAATACTACTATCCCCACTTAATAGATGAGGACATGGGCTTTGGAGAGAACAAATAATTCTCCCAAAGCCAGTCAAATGGTATTTCCAGGGCTCCCTCCACTAGTACTGTGAACCAGTGTGCTACAAGAAGTTGAGACAACAAGATGCTCAGCTAGATAACCCAAAGGAAAAATATGACTTCAAAAATGCTTCCCCATCTTGGCATCCGAGTAAGTTACTACTCAGCTCTCTCTTCTTTCTCATCTATGCAGATTTTTGCTAATTTATAAATGGTCTGTATCTTACAGTGTTGTTCATAAACTGTCTAGGAATGTAAAGACAATTTCTCTAGACATTATGGTATACATGATGACTGAGTTCTTAGACTGAGCCACCATCTCCTAGGTTTCCATGCAAGCTGGATGAAGGCCTAAGTTGGGCCCTTGCAGATCTTTACTCTGAATGTGCATTGGAACATAGTGCTTCCAGGGATCCAGAGTTATTCATTCTTTGATTCATCCCTTTGTCCATTACCTATTCATCTGTCCACTCATTCATTCATGCATTCAGTGATCCATTCATCCATCTACCCATACGCATTTCCTAAGCACCTATTATGATGCCAGGCTCTGAGCTATGAGAACTTCAGAGGTGATCCCACATGTATCAGTGCTTCTATTATATATAACTATTGTATCTCCAACCTGAAACAGGAAAAAAACATTTCTGCAGCTGAAAACCAACCTCCTACTTTAGATCTTCTGGAAGAAAGTGGAATTGGACGATTCCTGAAGCTCTTAACTACTTAACCACTGGTGGTTCTTACAGCCTAGATGGAGAGGTTGGGATGGTGGATTAAGTGAACCATAGTAGAAAAGGTAAGGAGGTATAAACATATTCAAAAGGGAGGGAACAGGAGGAATGGGGTCTCCTGTACATATGCCCCAGGGAACACCATAGAGAAAAAGTAAATGGATTCTCAGGCCTAACCTCTCAATTGGTTTCCTTTCTCACATTTTCCTTTTAAGGAAATAAAAATATCCACACTAATGGTAGTCTCAATGCAAAAAGGACCTCAGGGTGATTCATTTCTCTAACAGAGAGAAATGGACTCTGGGCCTATAGTGCCAGTGTTTTCTCTCCAGAGCTCAAAGGTAGGCTCTGTGCTAAGCCACATAATGGAGAGGCTGGATTGAAGTCCGAGGATGAGGGGTACAAGATACTTGGCATGGGGGGGAGAGAGACACCATTATCTTTTCACTTTCTTCTCTATCACTCTGGCCACTGCTAACAATTGCCCTGTCCAACACTGGAGTGGAAACTGGAATCCTTAGCTATTTGGAAAAAGAAAAAGAAAACCAAAGTAGTAAAAACACAAGGAAGGAATGTTGCAGTAGTCACCCGGCCAGGTGAGCTATTTCTTGAGTTGGAGGGACAATGGTTTGTTGCTAGGAGTTTCTGTACCAGAAGAGTTGAAGTTCTAGTTTCCATCCTCATTTGACACTTAAATGAGATTATCTTTTATTCTGAAGATATGTTCTGAATTATGTGTCTGCATCTCATCTACCTAATTATGGCCTTGTGGGTAGGAACCTTAACTTATTCTTTGTTGTATGCCTTATAGTACTTAATTAAAATAGCTGGTTGCATCTGGTGGGTTCTTGGTAAATTTTTCTTTTGATGGTGGTAGTGGTGACAGTGGTGGCAATGGGGGTGGTGATGGTGATGTTGGTGATGGTGATGACAGCTTCATATAGGGATCCAAGTTGGAACTTTTCCAACTAGATTGCAGATGGTGGCTGCACCTACATCAAGATGTTCAGTGTTCCTCTTTCATCTTCCTCAGGTGAAAACCTTTCACCTTTAAGACTTAGTAAAATGTCAACTCTTCTTGTGAAATCTTTCCCAGTTTCTCCCAGTAGAAGTAATTCTTCCCTTTGCTCTGCAGGCTAAAAATGCTACTAAAATATAATCAGGGGCACCTGGGTGGCTCAGTTAAATGTCTGACTCTTGATTCCATCTCAGGTCACGATCTCAGGGTCCTGAGATCAAGCCCCATGTAAGGTTCTCTTACAATTCTTAAGATTCTCTCCCTCTCCCTTCTGCCCTTCCCCACTGCTCATGGGCGCTTTCTCTCTCTCTTAAAAAAAAAAATCACTCTAAACTACAGTTAGTTATTTATGAAGCTGTTTTCTCTACTTAATTTTGAACTCCTTGAGGAAAAGGACTCCAAAATATTCAATTGCCTCCTCAGGTTTGTACTTGACACCTATTGACATTGTATTAATCTGTGTTGTTCAATACAGTGGCCACATGAGACAATTTAAATTTAAATTGATTAAAACAAAATAAAAAATTCAGTTCCTCTGTCACACTAGCCACATTTCAAGTATTCAATAGACACATGGGATGGCACAGACAGAGAACATTTCCATCTTTGCAGAAAGTTCTATTGGACAGTGTGCTACAAATGTTTGTAAAATTGAATTAATTTTTCATGTAGTGATGTATCTATTAAGCTGCTTCTTCTTACTTAAGGCTGGGCCTATATAATACTTAACCCACCAGAGACTTCCACAGCTTTGTGTTTTTAGTATTCTAACCTGCTCATCTTGTAAATAAAGAAACAGATCCAGCAAGGTAAAGAGACCTATCTGCCCAGATCCCATGGCACATTAATGATAGGAACAAGTTCATCAGTTGTATCCCCAGAAACCAGCACAGTACTTAGCATCCAGTGGCTGTCCCATACTTACTGCTGAATGAAAGAATGGAAAAAAATGGGAAAATTCTGGTTCTTCCTATTTCTCACCCAATGCTTCCATTTTACCCCTCTGCTCATCCATCTGTCAGCCAAAATGGACCAAACTGAACAGTTGCTTCCACATTTCTTTTGCAACCACACTCATACTGAGCCTGAGAATCTACAGGAAAAAGAGAGGGTAGAAATTGCCCTAAATGCCTCTTCCCTGTCCCCAATTCTCCCAGTTACCTGTCTCCATGTGTTGCCCCCATCAGAAGAGATGAACACACCAATATCAGTATATGAGAGCTCCGGGCCAATGTTGCCTGAAACATAAGCAGATCGTTTATAATTGTTTGCAGATTTGGGACTGGGGGGAAGGCGGCAGAGAGTAAAGTTTTCCAAGTTATGTTTAAAGTTGATGTGGAGTGCCTGGTTGGCTCAGTCAGAAGAGCATGTGACTCTTGATCTCAGGGTCATGAGTTTGAGCCCCCCATTGGGTGCAGAGATTACTAAAAACAATGATTAATTAATTTTTAAAAATTCCTTTAAAATAAATAAAAATAAAGTTCATGTGTGTAGTGCTTTCTTGGTATCATATCAAAAACCCAGCAAGAAGAAAAAAACAACATGGGAACTCAAAGTAAATAATATGACAGGAATGCATCTTTAAATGGTAAGAATCAAAGACTCGATATTAATGAGCTTGGATCTCTTGAACTATTCATGCTGTTACCAACAGTCTCTTAAAATTGATCATGATAGGTGCTCCTGAAGGTGGCAAAGAGTGGAACAGTAGACATCTGTGCAGAAGCTGGGCCTATGGACAACTTCCTCCTCATGTATAATTGTAGCCTAAGGAAAACCGGTATGTGTGTGTCCATGTGTATACATGTGAGTGTGCCTCCAACTTAAATGTGTCCACTTGTCCCTTGTATGCCAAGCAGTTGAATGACCCAATATTATAGACTATGTAACCAAGTTTACAGGGTGCCCAGAATAAAATGATCGTACTCAGCAGATCATGGCTATCAGGTAGGGCAGGAAAAGAAGGCATCTGGTTTGTGCCACTCTTAACTGCCTCCATCCCAACACCCCTTCATTCTTTCTTTCCCATTCTTTTTCTTCCCCTTGCAGTTATGTTCATTAAAAAAGGCAGTGATCAAGATTTTCTAGTCTACCTATGTTGCCCAAGGATCCCCAATGGGCACCCCCCACCTCAGAGCCCAGAACAGTGCCCCAAATGCAGTAGTTAATCGCTCAATAAATAATTGTGGAACGGATGAATGAGTCAACAAATGATTAAACCATGTTCCAATGTTGATGTGCTTTTGGGGAGGTATCAAGAATCAGGAAAGTACCCTAAAGATGTAAGAATTTATCATTTTGGCTGATATTTTTTTCTTTAAAAATAGCAGGAAGGGAATGTTAGCTCCCACACATCTGTAGCCTAAATAAGAGCACAATAAAAATGCAATAATGAAAATGTTAATTGAGCTCCTGACATTTAATGCTTCAAAATGAGAAATTAAAGCCAGGCTACAGCTTGTCAAACTCCCATCAGCACCAGGGAGTACATAGCTAGCCAACTTGTTTTGACACTCAGGCTTCCAAAAATAACCCTGGGGCTCACAGCTCAGACAGTAGGTGCAAGAGGGGCAGGGAGAGGCACAGTGAGCAGCTCTGTGGAGATCTGCCTGGAATCTGGAATTCAACTCTCCAGATAGGGTTTGTGGAAGACACAGATGAAGAAAGAAAAGAGGGATGGGACAGAGAATGTCAACTCCAATCATTTGGTGATGGTTGCCTGCTAAGAAGGATTCTGAAGCCAGATTTGGTTTCAAAAGAACAGAGCATGGTGATCAATCAGTCATGTCTACCAAGGTGGTCGAGAGCGAGAGACAGAGGCAGGAACAGAGTCACCCTTGACCTGGAATCTGCTGTCCCTGTCATGGCTTCTTAGGATCTCTCTCATCATTTTGTACCCTCTGTAGGAGCTGGTTCTGTCAACTATCTAAGCCCCTCTTTCAAAGTTCCACCAGACTGATTTTGGAGGTGTTGTGGTGATGAGAATCCAAGGCTCATAAGCGAAGTCTGTTTTTGGAAATATCTTCGGTCAACTGAAAGGAGACCTGAAAGAAATGCTGCTGACCACAGGAACCAGAAAGTTTGTTCCCAGAGGAAGGGACAGAAAAGCTGTATCCAGGACAGTTGGCTCTTAGAACATGGGCAGTTCCTAAGTGGCCCCATGGGGAATCTCTGATAGGAAGAATTTGGGTTCTGGTGTCAGAGAAGGAAGACTTGAAGAAAATGCCTCATTGGCAAAGTGAAACCAGGAGGCTCCCCGAAGTGGTCTCTGGTCAGGTTGGAAGATGTAGCTATTCCCCACTGATGTTCCCCACTGAAGTGGTGCAATGGCAGAGAGGAAGGAGAGACACAGAGAGGGACACAGAGTTTCTCTCACCAATGGCTTAGCTGGTAAATCCTGGAGGTTCCACTGCCCTTTTTGGCAGCTTTAAACAATTTGTAAAAACTCCCATTTCCTCTCGGGGCTACCTTTCTTTGCTTCTTAGTTAAACACTTGTGCAAAAAAAAAGAAAAAAAAAACATAAAGAGATGGAGAGAATTCTGTAGTCCTCTGGAGTAAGAGATGCTTCTCTCACCAGCCCAGATGCCCGTTCAGAGGATTAAGGGCTCGGTGAAAAAGGAAGCAGACAGTGCACAATGCACTGCAGGGAGGGATGTGCCTCCATGGAGCTTCAGTTTCTAGGAAGCCTGGTACGGAGCCGGGGGTAGCGTGCAGCCAGCACATGAAGGGGCTCAGGACTAGTTCTGGCTGGACAGAAGAGAACTAAAGCCAGAGTGAGTGTCGGTGTGGGCCTGAGACCTCTTCCTCTTCCTCTTCCATCACCTCATCTGTAAACTGAGGAGAAGACTCATCACCGTTTCCACATGATAGAGCTGCCACGCAGTTGAAGCACAGAGAATGCTTTGCATACTGTAAGGCACCATGAAGACCGGAGGTCTTGACGCATAGGCTTGAAAGCACAGTGGTAAGAATATTTAGAACCCTGGTGTACCTGCTGGCTACAGGCAATTGTCAGACTCTCCAGACTGGAATTCCATCTGCCTTCTGAGACGGCTTCAACTGGAGTTAGAGATGGCTCCTGGCCTCCACGCAGCTCCCCCGAGACCCCACCTCAGAGTGAAGGGGAAGAGGCGGTGAGCAGCGGGAGTGGACAGGAGTGAGCCCAGGGTCACAGACACCCAGAGGCAGGTGAAATGACAGGATGTGCAAAAGGGCCCTGGAGAGACAGGCTCCATGCCAGCCACTGAAGACATCCTTGGCTGACTTCGTAATTATTTTCCTGACAGCGAACAACCTCCCAGGGATAGCGGACAAGCATGGTAAGGAGAAGCTGGGCATGAGGAGGCATGTGCCCATGACCCATGGCTGGCTTTCTGTCGGGATCTCTTCAGCTGTGTTACATCCCTCCCAATGTCACAGGGCCATTTGTATGGCAAGGAGCCATACAAAGTTATAAGTGTTACAAAGGGGGAGAGGAAAAGGCATTAGTAAATTCTGATATTCAGTTGATCCTCGAACAACATGAATTTGAACTGTGTGGGTCCACTTGTGATTTTTTTTCCCAGCAAATACAGTACAGCACTGTAAATGTGTTTTCTCTTCCTCATGATTTTCTTAGTAACATTTTCTTTCCTCTAGCCTATTTGATTGTAAGAATACAGTATACAGTACATATAACATATAAAATATGTGTTAATCGACAGTTTATATTATTGGTAAGGCTTCTGGTCAACAGTAGGTTATCAGTAGTTAAGTTTCGGGGACTCAAATGTTATATGTGGATTTTCAACTACGTGGGGATCGGCACCCTTAAGCCCCACGTTGTTCAAGGGTCAAGTGTCTATGGACAAAAACCTTTCAAAAACAAATCTTTGGGGCGCCTGGGTGGCTCAGTTGGTTAAGCGATTGCCTTCGGCTCAGGTCATGATCCTGGAGTCCTGGGATCGAGCCCCACGTCGGGCTCCCTGCTCAGTAGGGAGTCTGCTTCTCCCTCTCCCTCTGCCTCTCCTCCTTGCTCTTGCTCTCTCTCTCTCTCAAATAAATAAAATAAAATAAAATAAAAACACATCTTTAATGTGTCCATGTTTGTTAATTTATAAAGGCTTAACATGCGACTAATTTAGGGGCACGCAATGGTCACAGGTAAAATCTACAACTAATCCCACCTCACTATGCTCTGAGCACTCTGCTGGATCTTGTGGACATACTCTTCTATCTCTAAGTTTTACAAACTCCCACAAGGTAGGAAAAAAAGAAACCTGTTTTAAAAATGGGGAAAACAAAGCCCAGTGGTTGAAGAACTAAGCCAAATTCACAGGGCTAGTGTCAGAGCTCAGCTTGGAAAGCAGGACACCAGGGTTCCTGAGTATATTCATTCAGTCAGCGTAGGTCTAGTGTGTGCATATGATTTATGGATTCTGTTGAAGAAGATGTATAAATCACAGTCTTCTGATACATGAAGACCAGGGTTAAATTTCTGTAATATTACTGATGATAACAGCTAATGTGTATTGAGCATTCAATATGTCCCAGGCACTGTCCGAGCACCTTAAATCTAGTTCTTCATTTAATCCTTCAATTCTGTTATGTCAATACTGTCAACCCCACTTTGCCAATGAAAATACTGAAGTTCAGAGTGGTTAAGTCACATAGGACAATGCCTGGCTATATAGTTGGTATATTAAATAATATTAACTTTTATTATTGATTACTGCTTTCTTTTCTTTCTTTCTTTTTTTTTTTTTTAATTACTGTTTTCCATGTTGCTTCTATTCCAAGCCAGGGTGTCCAGCAGGCCTGGAGAAGAGGCAGAGAATGTTGCAGTCCCTGAGTTGGGAGGTCCAACCCACAAGGATTAGGGAGTGTGGGGATTACTCCCCAAGCCAGAACAGCAACACAGACTGCCCTCATCTCTTGCTAACCTGGACTGAAGCCTGTCCTGACGCCAGTGGTGTTCCATACGGGGATTCAATCCCTATGGGGTTGAGAGAAATGGCCTAGAATGCTTGAGAACTACTCTCGCTGCAAATCTGATCCACGTGGTCAGTCACCGATGGTGTTTCAAAGTTCCTGCAGCTGGGGGCATGGAGAAGGAAGTCGTGTCTAGGAGAGCAGTGACCCAGGAGCCAGAGGTTCGGGTTGATGAGACAAGACAGAATGTGCCATCTCAGGAAATCACTGTGACTTTATCTGCTTTCATTAGAGAAAAGCCTAACACCAGAACTCTAACTTCGGAGATTAGAAGCCTGCCTTGCTTTATGCCATCAATGTATTCCTGAAAGGTACATGTAAATCAAACGCATGCTAATCAGAGCACATTCCCCAGAGATTTTCATTTTCATTGCAGAGTTGCTTTATCTTCATTTCTGATTGATGATCACTGGACAGTGGTTCCAACAATGCAACCTTAGGGGTTTTTTTGCCCTTTCCCCCAGGCTCTCAGCCAAGTGGTTAATCATGTGTAAACAAACCTTTACATGCACCAGAGACCTCCTGATTAAAAACAGCTCTGGGGTGAAAGCCTTTGCAAAGAATCCTCTGTGTAAAGAGAAAATTGCCCCAACTTATATTTGGTGAGCTAGCAAGTTCATATATCAAAGGTGTCTTAAAGTGAGAATTCCCTACGACAAACAAGCTTTCTGATCAGTTTACTTTGAGAGGAACTCTGGCCTCTTGCTAAGCACAGGGGACAGCTCTGTGACTGTGTGGGATGCGCAGTAACCTAGAAGTTACAAGTGTCTGGAGCTCTTTTCCTGGGTCACGAGACTGGCCCTGGGATTCCATGACCCTGCCTATTTTCTGGGGGGGAGTGCCCATCACTTTCACCCAATGTTCAAATGAGTCCAAAGAGGTGATAAATATTCCAAAAGCTGTCAGGGAGGAAGAAGCACAGGGAATGTCTTTCTTACCTGTAGCCACCACAAGTCCCGGGGCTGTCTCCTTGCTAGAAATTCTTCCTGAGGAATATGGATTTTCAGAGATCTGCAAGTGCAGGTGTAAGGAGCAGAAGGGCTAAAATGGAGAAGAAAACAGCTTCGTTCCGGCAAACTTCTGACACACACCCCTGCCCCACCAGAGATGAGGCTTCCAGAAACAGTCTCACACTAAGATTTGGGCAGGAGACATTTCTGCCTGAGGCAGCTAGTATGCTCACATCAGAAGCTGCCCCCATCACAACTGTAGGCCTCCCCTCCCTTCCTCATACCTGCCCCATCCCTCAAGGTCCAGTCCATGGTCAGCCTTAGGAAGCCTCCCTGACCATTCCTTCCCACAGAATGATCCTGACCTTCCCCTGTTTCTGATCTTGACCATCACATCCTGCTTTTTAGAGCTGTAGGCGGCCACTGGGAGGGATGAAGCGGGGAAGCTAAGTAAAGCAGTGTCCAGGCCCTCTACCCCCTTCTTCAACCAGATTGTTTCTGTTTCTCCTTCACATTATTTGACTCCTGTTTATAATGTTACTTGAATTTTACCTAAAATGTTTGAAGACACTGTCTAAAACTAATAGAAATTTATTTACTCATTTATCCTTTTTTAGGTGTTCTTAAAAAGGATGAGGGATTTATAGATAGGTATTCTATATAATAAATAAAAACAAGAGAATGATGAAATTGGAGAAAGAAGAAAATTAGGTTAGGAAAATAAGATAAAGCCATGGGTAAGGCCTAGGAAAAAAGAAAATTCACACTATGACCAGCTCCTAGGTGGGTGCGCATTTGGCTCTGATCTGCCTGGAACCCCAGCTGAAAAGAGGGGGTTAGATTGAAATCTACAAAAAAAAAAAAAAAGGAAAGGCCCTGTCCGCCCCCATATCCTCAGTTTTTAACATAATGTCTACAATGTGGAAAGTTGGTAATAAATCTTTTTAACAATGGCAAAAGGCAACTTTTTGCTAAGAGAGAAACATAACCATTTCCGAGGCCTTGAAGAGTTTCTCACATAGGTCCTTTCTAAGACAGCACAGAGGGTTCATGAACTTCACTGTTAATGATCTGCCTTCCCTCCCCACCTATAGTTCACACACCTGAGGGCAGAGAAAACTTCTTATGCATCATGTCCTCCAGAGTGCCTACCTCAATATTCCATACACCTGGCACTCCCTGGGAATGCTGACAGAGTAACCACCGTCCCATGTGGACACACCATCCTGATCTCTCCTGGGCTGGCAAGGCAACTTTTGCTTACCTTGACATCTATCAAGCACTTATCAAACTGAATCATATCAGTATCAGTTAGCAGGGGTGTTTCTACTCCTGAGCCCTGTCTGGGACTCTGGAATGCAGGCACTGTCTCTTAAACATGTTTTTATCTTACTAAGAGTTGGAGCACATAGTGTATTCTCAGTACATGCCTGTGAGTTTCAACTGAGCTTTCCATCCAAGTGGTATGGCAATCTGAGCCTGGAGATCAACGCCCTGAGGGTTGTGGGAAATGCCTGCCCAGCACCAGCCAAGTTCCTAAGACCCCTTGCTGGAAGAAAGCCCCTGATGGGACATCCCCAGGTGACCAGCTTGCCCTGTGGACTTCATGTGAGATGGGGTGACTGACCAGCAAGCAGTGTACTGGACTTCCACGCAGGTCCACATCTGGGGCTTGAAGTAGGCGCCAGTCTCTGCCCTTGTTGTAAGTGATATACGTCTTCACCTGGTCATCCACCTTCTTGTTTGCCAAGAATATCCCTTTGATACCTGCTACCTAGGAAAAAGGGCAAGAGATGGAGAACCATGTTGGGCCAAATGCTGATAATCTTGGAGAAGCCCTGGGAGAAGCCCCAGCGCTTTCCACAGGGTGTTGGGGGTATAAAAGAAGAGAAGAGGAGGAACATGGTGAGAAATGCCATATACCATGTGGTCTTTGGGAGAAGTTTAAGTTCATCTCTGCACCCTCTACCACCTGCCCCTGACCCAGATGTCCCACTGCCCTTTTACCCATCTGCTTTTTCCCACTTTATATGTTTCTGCATTCTGTTCATAGGATCTTATCCTTGATTAACTATTAACCTTCCCTCTTGAGGTGGCAGTGGTGGGGATAACAACCGAAGGAGTTACCCCTTCTGTGGAATATGTACTTTGGCTCAGGAGGAGCTTGTAGGAAGATTTTGAAAGCATTAAGGTATAGTCCTTAAGGCTGGAAGTTTAGCCTCCTGATTAGTAGTGAGGCAGATATTTTCAGGCAGACAACCCAGCTTGGTGACCTGGCATCCATCTTTGTGTGATCCTGCATAACTTCCATGTCACCTTTGGGTCTCAGCCAATGGTCACTTTGAAATAGACAAAATCAACTCTGCCCTTCCTCTTTTTCCTCAGCTGGCTAAGCATGGATACATGAGAAAATGCAGAGCACTCTTGCCAGAGTTCCTGATCTACTGGAATTTGCATACCCTTGATATTAAGAAGGGAGAAGATCATCGCCACAAAACAAGAAGCTAGAGAATTAAAAGAAATTTATGATTCAGAAGTGTTCTAGAGTAAGTCAGATTCAACTCAAACTTTTATTCCTTCCACGTCTACATTTTGGGCAATAAGAACAGATATTCTGAATGACAACAGTACCTCAAAGAAAGATTCCCTAACTTCCTGTACAATCTCAGCATGTTCCAAAGCCAAAAGGCAAGTCAACTCATTTAAATGTATATAAACATGAAGTTGAATGACAGGTTTTCTGGAAAGAGATATCTCAGAATTTTAAGTGTATTTATTCCCCATTCTTTGAGGATCATGGTTAACTGAGAGAATACTAGGGGGAAAGAATTTTATAGAAGTGAGCTCTTTTATTTTTTTTAATGACATAATTTAGTGGATGAAATAAGAAGTTTGTTTTTGTTTTTGCTTTTGTTTTTCTTAAGTAATCTGACTGCCCTTGAAAAAGAATGCCAACGCAGATAAAAACAAACAAAAAATGGACAAAGAATGTCAAGAGGAGAACAGAATTTATCTGGGAAGGACACCACCAGGGGAATTTGACAAATGGCCAACAAAGAAATGATTAAATTCCTAACTTGAACAGAGGGTGGGTACGGACAGAAGCCAAGGTGGGGGGAGGGGCACTGGTGTCAGAGTTCTGTCCTTACCGGACAAACCCTCCCTGCCCCAGCTGCTTAAAGTCAGTGCCATTTTGGGAAGACTGCCATCTTCTATGCTCATCTAGAGGCTCTGAGGCTCTCCTATCACCTCAGTCTTTATTAAAAACCAACTGCAAAAGTGTTTCTCTTAAACCTGACTACCAATTATTCCTCACAGAGAATGGATAGAACCATCTGTATGATGGAGGCCTTTTGGTATTTTCTTCAGCCATGGAGCTGGTACTTTTTCTGTTGGACCACCAGATGATGATTCTAGAGAATGCTCTCCTATAAGCCAGCTGGTCCCCTCCAACATGTGCCCAGGGCCTTGGTGTCTACCTCCCTGGAGAAATTTACAAGTCCGACTTAGATTTTGGAGCCTGTTCCTGTGGGGCTCTTGTCACCCCCATCCACTGCCTCCTAGCTGGATGCATCACAGCATCAATTACTAGCCATTCAGTTGCCTCTTGGGTTCTTCTGGATGAGTGTCTTTGGCAAACGGAATGGTCACTACCACATTTTCTCACTGAGCACCACACCACTCAGATGGGCATTTTTCGTATTCCCTACATATTCTGAGAGCAGAATCTGGAGAGTGGGGTCTGAAAAGACACAGGAAAGCCATCTGCAGCTCTGAAGGACTTTCTCCTATAGTCAAATATGAGCCATCTCCCTCCAGTCCGAAAGAACCAGAACACTTCTGATTTTTATTTGGATTGTTCAAAACCCTTACATTATTACTGAATTGCTTCTTGGCTCTAAATCGTGTATAAATAGGCTATAAGTTTACAGGGCACTTTGCTTCTGTGTGCCCTAGGCCAACAGCTTTCAAACTTCTTGACTGCAACCCCAGTACAAAATGCATGTATGCTACAGCCTAGGACTCATACCCATGTACACATGCATGTGTGCACATGTAGGCACATGTATGTCTCTGATGCAAAAGTATCATGAAACACTACTGAGCCTCACTACACACGATATAAAGGAATGAGAGAATGAGACACCCATTTTAACTCTTCCACCCAAGGAGGTACTTGGCATCTGATAAACTCTGACCATGTTTCCTCCCACTGTTGTTTAAAATCAGAAGCATGGCTTGCAGCTGCCGGCCCCAGAGTTCAAAGAGAAGGGCACCAGCTTGGGATGGTGCCCACAGAAGATGGTAGTACAAGTACAGGCTTGTGTGGCCCATTTTCCTTCTGGAAATCAATTTGAGGTATGAAGGGGAACTGACAGCAGCTTCTTGGCAGAGCACTGAGTCCAGGTGGTATGGGCATCTGTTTCTCACCTCCCTGGGCCCTTAGGACAAGGAAACCAGGGCTCTGCTGAGAAAAGCAATTACCATGGTCTGCCTTGGGCTGTCCCTAGAGTGGAACTGGTGGTGAGGGGCTGATGAAGGTAAGGCGGGGAAATATGTGCCTGTGGAGTCTATAAGCAGCTGTCCATCTGGCCAAAGATGGGTCACTCAAGTTCATGATAAAGCAAGGGTGGGGAGCAGGCACAAGGGACAGGGAAAGCAAGGGAACATCAATAAGATGGGCAAAGAAAGCAGAACACTTAAGATGACTCAGAGAGTCTCATTTTATCCATCCTGGTGAGTTCCACATAGTCATTAGGAAATTCAAATTAAACTCACACTAAGGTACCACTAGGCTCCTTTCACAGTGGCCACACACACACACACACACACACCTGATAATGCCAAGTGTCAGTGAAGATGTGAAGCAACCAGAACTCTTACATCTCAGGTGGGGATGCAAAATGAGAATACCACTTTAGAAACAGCTTGGTGGCTTTTTATAATCATAGTCTACCACATTCAACCCAGCAATCCTACCCCTAGGTATTTACCCATGAGAAAGAAAAACTTCTGTTTACATGAATGTTCATAGAGGTTTTATTCATTACCACACAGAACTGGAAACAACTTTAATGTCTTTCAACTGGTGAATGAATAAACAAACCAGGGCACATCCACATAATGGAATACTATTTGGAAATTAAAAAAAAAAAAGGAACGTCTACTGATATTCAACAACATGGGTGATTCTCAAATGGATGATTCTAAGTAAAAGAAGCCAAACTCAAAAGACTATCTACTGTATAATTCCAATCACATGAAAACCCATAAAAGGCAAAACAGGAGAGAGAAAGAAATCAGACTGGTCTGCCAGTGATTTGGGGTGGGAAAATGGTTGGCTACAAAAAAGCCATCAAGGAAGTATTTTGGGGTGACAGTTCTCTATCTTGATTATGGTGGTAGTTATACAGCTGCATACCCCTATCAAAACTCACAGAACTGCAAACCAAAATGGGTAAGTTTTACTATACATAAATTAGGCCTCAATAAAAAAAGTAAATAAATGTGAAAAAAATGCATGTGGGAAGAGCCTGGCCTTTTTATTCAAATATACATGGACTGGTTCAAACATAGCTCTACCATTTTACTATCTGTGTGATCTGAGCCAAGTTACTAAATTGTCTGCACCTCTGTACTCTCATAGGCACCAGGGGGGATGATACCTACCACAAAGAGATATGGCAATGATAGATAGATAGATAGATAGATAGATAGATAGATAGATAGATAGATAGATAGATATAATTTAGGGTTATGCAAACCAATACTATGGCCACTAGCCACATATGGTTACTGAGCACTTGAAATGTGGCCAGTAGGACTAAGGAGTTGAAGTTTACCTGTATTTTATTTGAAACAATCTGAACTTCAACTTAAAAACCAACACCCAATTCTGTTATTGGCAAACTTTTAAGTGTGTTTAGAATAACTTGGGTATGTGACTCTACTTTTCCGACTGCACATTTTATGAAATGTGAATACTGATCAAGTATCTCTGATGAAAATTTAGCATATGAATTGAGATATGGGGGAAGTGTAAAATACACCCAGAATTTTGGAGATTTAGTATGGAAAAATATAAAATATCTCATTAGTAATCTTTCAAATGGTGCACATACTAAAATGATAATATTTTAGGTATTTTGGTTAAATAAAATATATTATTATAATTAACTTCACCTGTTTGTTTTACTTTAAAAAATGTGGGTGGTAGAACATTTAGAAGTGCATCTGTAGCCAACATAATATATTTTTATTCAACAATACCAGTCTTAGGCATTACCTGGTATGCTGTTGTTATTATTATAATGAGGTACGAGTTGGATGCTTTACATCCAGGAAAATATTGAAGAAAATGCATCCAACCCGCAGCTCAGAGCAATGTTTCCATAATATAATTTTGAGGGTGTTGGAAAGAATATTTGTTTCTTGATTTATCAGTGGAAAGCAACTAAGAAGAAATGTAGTTTGGAGTTAGTGATGTGAAGAAACCACAACAAAGCTCTACGTGAAAAGAGTATCACAGAATAATGGTGAACACACATAATAGATTGTACTCGTTGTCATCATCAGACTTGTTTTGATGGAACAGGCTCTGACACCTTAAAAAAGAAATTATTATTTGGCCTTTAAGAATTATTTTCTCACCTGATTATGTAATTACAGCCATGACAATATTGTACTTGGAAGCAGGGATTAAAGGAAGAATGAGAAGAGACTCTCTACAGAAGGAGACTGCTCCAACAGACCAAGAAATAAACAATGTCTCTGCTTTATTCAGTTTTAGGAAGTTCAGAGGGGGTGGATTCCCACCCACTGGCTTCCAAGGTCTCTTAGTGCCAAGACCTGCAGGGTGAATTCTCAAGTAAGTTCTCATTTTCTTTGTCCCCTTCCCATGGTCAAGAAGAAGCTTGACAGGGCCACGTGAAAGATGGAGTGATACACTAGTAAATAGATTTGAGTGGCTGTGCTCATCCCGAGCCAATCCACACCTGTGTTACTTAAAGGCATCTCTGACATTTCAGACAAGGTTAAATAGGTGTAATATCCTAACACATCATAATATATATTAACTTGGCATAGGAGACTGCATCAAACATCCAAATATCATTTTTAGGTATGTAGATGTAAGGGAAAAACAGAGAGAAAAATCTGCCCATCAAATAAATGCCCAACTCTTCAATTTAGCTCTTTACTAGTATCTTCGCAATATTTAACCCCACTGTTCCCCAAAGTCACTCAACATTCCATGAAAATGGGCATCTACTCATCAGACTCTGGTTCTCATCTCATGCTGGTATTCCACCAGACATGCCTTTCTCCCAAGCTCCAGTAATTCATCCTTGAAGCCAATTCATCTCCAAGTCCCCCCAAATTCCTCAAGTTAGATTTAACCTTCCTCTTTAGTGATTCTACAACACGGAAAATCACAGCTTTAATACAAGTTAGTCTGTGATCACTAACTACCCTAATAGGGTCATGTATCTTTCCAGTAGATTGTGAGTCTCATGCACCACCTTCATCTCATCAAACAAAATATACTCTATGAAAGTGCATTAATTTAGTTGAATTGAATGTGAAAGCTTCCTAGTTTTCCCAGATGCATTACTCAAGGGCATTCAGAGTCCAGAAAAATTATAGTCTCTTTGCTAACTGGCCATATGGTACACAATCTCAGTTTCTATAAGAATCTCCAGTGAAGGAGGTTAAAAACTAATGACCCCTAGAGACCAATTAAATTCGGCTTTATCTCCAAATCACAGAATGCATCTCCAGGTACAAATCAGCAACACCCTCTAAAAGCCTTCAATACGGTCATGGTCTAGATAGTGTCTGGATACAATTTATTCTCTTGGTATTAAATGCCTTCTAGAATCTAAACTCCAACCACCTATCTGGCACTCATTCTTGTACCTGGTGAGCATCTATTCGATGCAATTAGATTGGCTAGCTCATGGTCTTACAAATCTACACCATCCATCTAGTTCTTGACTCATGCAGGTCTTAAAATATGGAATGTGTTCCACTTCTTCCTCTGCAGGGCAAAAAGATGGTAATCAGATTGGTAACATTGCAAAAAAAGAACTAGGCATATACGACTCATTCCCAGGTCCACTATTTTGGGGATTTGCCTGCAAAGATCACATTCTCTGTACCTCACTGCCGTGGTGTTCTAGGAAGAGGCTTCCACAAGACAGCTTCTGATTTACTATTTGTGCATGTGACTAGATGGGTGCATCCAGGTCTGGCAGGCAGTATTAGCAAGCCCACTTGCTCCTATATAACTTTTAAAAGCAATAAAGCTGGTATTTGATCTCCACTTGTCTCACCCTTTGTCTCTGTCTCAACTGACTACAGTCTGGGCAGGTAAAAAAAGGAACTTTGTTCACAGGCTTCTTCAAAGCCCAATAAACTAGGTTGCAAGCTTCCAGAGGGTAAGAATCGGTATCTCTCCTGCCTTACTCATGGGCTTTAACACAAAGCAGGGTCCCAATGAACCCGGATAAAATTAAATGGAGACAAACTCAACACAACTGGTTTTAGAGAAGTTGCCTGGCCTGGTATGTCTTCCTTCTGTATAGATGGAATGACACCATGCATTTTCCCCCCAAAAGACCAAAAAGGCATGGCTGACTTCAGCAAGACCAAAAAAATACATATATCTAGGCATATTCTTCATTTTGATCCATGTTCCGCTTCAGATCAGAGTGTCTCACTATTCACAATGACCAAGGTGCTCTTTATTACAAAAAGAACAGCACAGTGCCAAACTCACCTGCCTTATTGATAGGGTCAGAGACACAGGGATTTCTCAATTGGAAGGTCGTCTGCAGCAATGTCTACCCTGTCCTACTGAGGTCTGACCACAGGAGTATGAATAATTGTCTCATCTCTATAGCCTCACTTACGTGAAGAGGAACCTGGTTGCAATGGCCTCAGTCCTAGGAACATTTCATCTAAACCTTCCCACCAGAGATGACTTACTGCCCAATAACAAAGGGTATTTCTGCCTCCAGGTATGATTAGAGGCATGTAAAGGTAAGCTTCCCAAAGAAAACCCTTTACACACCTTAGTCATCTTTACCAGTTTTTGTAATTCTAAGAAAAAATCTGGGCCATTTCCCAAATGGGGACCTTGTCGTTAAGGGAATCAGCACTTGTCAACAACGTCCTAGGAAATCACGGTATTTCTACTGATTCTGTTTTACACCCAGTGCCATTCACTTCTCTCTCTTTCTCTCTTTTTTATTGTACTTCTATTCACCCCCAGAACTTTGTGTGGTCCTCTTACCTAATAAAATAACTAGAATCTTTTACCACTCTCAGTAACTTCGATACCAGTGTAGGGATGCTAGGACTTCGCCAGGCACTGCTCAGAAGACACCACAATAAAGCAGGAGCCCCTACACTGATCTCTCTATTCTGAAAGCTGCTCCCATGCCTCTAAGATGAAAACTCGTAAGGGAGCAGTTCACCCACACCATCTTAAGCTACCGCTCATGACAGACAACTCCTCCCTCCATGAATGAATGACCTCCACCAGTGTAGTAGGTGTAGGTTTGACCACCAGTCACTAGTGAATGCTGGATAATGAAATACACCCCTTTACTCAAATCAATCCATCATACCAACAAGGTGAGCACTGTGGCCAGGACCATCAAAGGTCATACACTGCCGTTAGAGACATAAAAAGCGACCCAGGCTTAAGGTCACTGAAACAACTTGTTTTTCTCTAGTTCCTCTGTGGAGTCACTTGGTTTCCTAGATAAATTAATTCTTTAACTGGTGATCACATTTAAAAACAAAACCTCAATGTAACTGAAAACTCAGTAAGGTCATCATATTAAACAACAACTCAAAGTAAGTCAAGGTCAGTTCTTCACCATACTCCAATGTTGGCATCTGGTTGCATTTTAGGGAATCCCTCATCCCCAGCACTGATAGTCACTTTTCTTTTCCTGTATAACTTGTTCATAAGATGTTATTTTCCAAATGATTTAAGATATACTAATAGATACGTGCCTCCACTCAGAGTCCGTAGAGTTGAAAAAGGGACTTAAGCGAGCCCACGTAGGTCAAATACCTGGGCGTCTGGCTCATAATCATGCTCATCCACCAAAGAACATTCACTTCAGCCACCATCTATTCAAGTTTGCTGAGTCAACCACCACTCTAGATGCTTTACTTATGTTCTCTCTCATTCTCACAACCATCTCATTAGGCAAATATTTTATCCCTGTTTCACAGGTGATGAAGTTACCTGCCCCAAGTCACACAATCGCTAAAGGGTACAGCTACCATCCGAACCCAGGACTGGCTGACTGCAACGCTCATGTTTATCCCATTAAAACTCCTCCAAAAGAGAGGCAGACCCAGGTGCAGGACCATCTTGGCTACATACCTCATACAATTCAATAATAATGTTTCCCATTAGACCTCGGCTACTCTTAATGTTCTCCATGGCCAGGGTGAAGTAGATGCCACGCATGTCTGAGATGTAGAGGTTGTACGTGTCGTTCTGGTTCCATTCTTGGACGGCTGCAAACACTTGGTTCTCATCGGTACTGATGATGTGCATGTCCTGGAAGAAGACAGAACACCTGTAAGGCAGCAGATCTCCATACCCCTCTGCCCATGGGGACCCAGAGTAATTACCATGACTTATGAATGGTGGAGAAAAAGCCTGAGTTATAGGCGATGTTAAACAATTCTGTGTCGGACCAAGGCTATAAATTAAGAACTTCGTGATTTCTGCTCCTTGCTAAATGACAGCAAGATGGGTGTGAGGGGCTTTGGTGGTTACCATTTTCCATGGTTTCAAGGGATTCATCCACTTCCATTTTTTTATTTTTATATCTGAAAGTTAGTGTTAGTGCTAACGGAGACATATAGCCTTGCCAGAGGAAACTCACACATGCAAAGACAGGGCTTAGCCCTTCTTTAGATATTCATTTACTTTTCCAAACTTTTTAGTGTAGTGGTTGTGAAACTTCTCTTCAGGATCTTCAGAGTCATGGGGATTTCGAGAAGCGTGGCAGGGAGGCAAAGCCAGTGGGCGGGGCTCTGGGCTTCCAACTGTCTTTCAACCAGAGCGGCACCACTTGAATCTGTTTTATCCTGGAGTTCTGCGTGATATTTGGGGAGTAAAAGGTGAGGGAGGTTCTGCTGCTAAAAAAATAATATTTGAAAATCACTGATAATAGCAGAAAGGATACTCAACCTGGAATTTAGTGTTCTGGGTCCTAGTAGGAACTCTACTAGAAGTTAGCTATATGATGCGGGATGTGTCTGTGTCCCTGAGCTTCAATTTTCTCACCAAAATACTGAAGAGGTTGGGCTACTGCTAAAAATAGTTAACATCTGAGCACTATTCTAAGGCATCTAAATGTATTATTTCAGTAAAAATCCAAATAATTCTACAACAGAGGTAGTATTATTTCCATTTTACTGAGGAACAAACTAAGGTACGCAGAGGTTTGCCAACTTGCTTCATATTACATAGCCAGTTAGTGGCAGAACCAAGTGTTGAACCTCTGTCGTAGGGCTCTAACCTAATTGTTAGCTTCTAACCATTTGGATATATAGTCTCCGGATCAGAAGTTGCAATCCTATGACCCATGTGATGAATGTGAATCATAAATGTTTGGTCTGACCACAGCCTCTACTGAATACCTGATGGTGTAGTCTTTTAGGTGAAGTCAGCACTCAGGAAGACTCAGCCTTAAGTACCCAAATGTTCTTATAACCTGCCTCTTAGATATTCATGTTAACTTCCTGGTCCCTGAAGTCACTTTAGTTTAGTTTGTATACCTGGACTAGAACATTTCTAAAATCAAATCTAATCAGTTCACAATTCAAAAGAGTTTATAAAAGCCAGTTTTCATATGTGGCTAGGCGCCATACAAAGAGGATCACAAACTCAAGTCCTTCCCTAAGGAATTCACACTGTCAGGAGGAAATGTTGACACAGATAAACACTGGACATAATGGAAGCAGTTAAAAAATTCATAACTACACAGGTATATATGCCAAAGAGTAATGGCATCCTGAGAAGGCAGGAGAGGACCCTGGTCACTGTGGTGGCAAGCATTCATAGTAGGGGCACGGGCAATTGGAGCTGACAGTGAGTAAATCACGAGGCCGGATCTAGCTTTTACCATGTTTGACCAACCTTTCCCAGAAATGATTTCAGCAATAAAAGGAGGTAGCAATGTTTATAATATCACAACTATGGAGCGCTTCTCCAAGACATTTTTCAAAAGGAGCAAGCTCATTCAATTTGGACAACGAGGAGGTGGGAAAAGTGAGAAGCGATCTGGATCTTTTTATTGGAGAATCTGTCAGATCTCAGCATCTGGCCTGGAACTCCCTAGGTCACCTTGACTAAGACCTCACTAGCTCATTTGTGCTTACACACCTTATAGAATTACAGGATCCCACTGAGCTGCTTGAAAATGGAAATACGGCTTCCTCTTAAAAACCCTGTGATGAAATTGTGTTGTGTCGGTGTGGAATGAAAGCCGGAGAATCCAGTAGGAGGGGAAATAGCAGCTGCAGGAAATACAGATTAAATTCACTTACCCTGTTAAAAATGCAATAGAAATGCTGGGCTTTTCCCAGATGTTTTGGTTATAAAAATGAATGAGCTGAGTTATTTTAGACTAAACTAATGTAAAAGAAGTAGAAAAAACAACTTAAAACACGGGGGCATATGGTCAGGATGAAAGGTAGCCAGCTTAGCCATGAGCGTGGGCTGTATCGCCTGGCGTGCAGGTACTGCAGGCTCTGGGGGACAGGGTGCTCTCTAGCAGCCAGGACTCTGCGAAGTCAGCTTGAAAAGTTCTTAATTTCCCTAAGTCACTTAGCTAATAAATGGTATTACTAATATTTAAACCCAAGACTATCTGAATCAAGAAGCTAAACTCTTTTATCAGTGGGAGTATAACTCAATATGCATCAAAATGACCTGGAGATCTTAAGAGCACACAGACTCCCATGTCCCACTGCCTGAGGTCTGAGTCAGTGTGTCTGGTTGTGAAGGCTTAAATCCTACCATCCGAACCAGGCTTCCAGACAAGTCAGGTGCATGCAGTCTGGGTCATCACTCTTTGAAAAAGCTCTGAACTACGTGTCCTCTCTCCAAATAGATCTTCTAGTTGAATAGGGATCAACAAATAATAACCAGAATACTAAGTGTTCAAGAAGAAATAAAAGCATTTTCAGTAACATTGGTCAAATAGGGATCTGAATGATAATTAAGTGTATTTCTTGAGTCCTGTGATCTCAATCTAACCCCAAAGCATGTGCCACCTCCTTCCAAAAAAAATCAAAGACATTCTTCCTACTCCTGAGAACATGCAGGGTGAGATCTGACTGGTGATGAAGAGAGACACCAAAGTGGGGGAAAAGCAGTAAGTAAATTCTGATTGGGACTTTACCTAACTGGAACTTGGACAGCATCAGACATAACCACATTCATGTTTTTATTTGGAGAACAATTATAAATAACACTCCCCCTATGCCCTCCCATTAATTTGGAGGAATCATAGCTGCCTTTCGCAAACCTAAACGTGAGACTTTGTAGGTAAACAATGGTGAAAACACTTCCCCGTGATTGAAACATGTTCGTGTAATCTGGGCTGAATGTAACTGCATTCATTATAAAAACACATATGCTATTCAGCATCTGCCATGCACCAGACGTTGTAACAAAAATGCAGAGAGGACCAAGATGTAGAACCTCACCTCAAGCAGATGCCCAATGGCGGTGGGCATGTCATGCACTCTTTGCCTTCTCCGAAGCTGACTAAGGTCCCCGGTACAGGTACTGATAGGAATACAAAGGCTTATAGATGGGGGTGGGGGTGGGGGCAATCCATGGAAATGTGTGGAAGTGGCTTGAAAGCAGTTTTTCCCTGACGAGGGTGAGGACAGACAGTGGCCAAACTTATGGGGCTCTGCATGGCACACCTCAGTTTTACCCAGAAGGAAACACAAAACTAGCACAAGATTTTAAGCAGGAAAAAGAGAGAATTAGAACTGACCAATGCAGAGATTTGGTTGGGGAAGACCAGCTTCATTGTGTGATCACATTTGTCACAGAGGCAGCTGGAAAGGTGGATTTCGGTGGGGCAGGGGAAGGCTTACGAGGCGGCTGTAACAATCTCAGTGAGGGCCTAAACTAATGAAGCAGGTTTTCCATGAGAACCCCATGAAATGGACTCGTGAGATATCAGGGAGGCAGAACCCATAGGGGATAAACGAAAAGGGCATATCTTTAGTATGTCAGATACCTGACTTACAAAATTCCCCCTTATTAGCATGCTCAATCATAACCAAATACTCATCGTTAAATATGTGTGTAATTACTTATTCTACGCCAGTCTCTCTCATTAGTCCATAAGCTCCCAGAGGGCAGACACTGTGTCTTTCTTATGGATCACTTCATTTCTAGCACTTACTAAGTATCGATGGTAGTATACATGGTAGCTATCCAATAAAAGTTTTCGTATGAATGAATAGATGGAATAAGTAAACACAGGAGAAGGGTGAAATTTTAGGGATACGACATAAGGTAGAGAGGCTGAGCTCAGTTCTAGAGTTTTAAAATGGGATCTTTCAAGGGAGGTACTTCAGAAAAGCAGTCCAGGGTTCAATGAGTATGGGATGGGACTATGGATATAGATGTCACCCATATGAAGAGAAGGAATAAGGTCACCTAGGAACCATGAAGAATGCCAGGAGAACTTAGGATCATCAACATTTAAGGGTGGCAGGGGAAGGAGGTCCAGAAAAGTGAATCAGAATAAAATACTCCACAGGGAAGAGTATCAGGTATGAATTCTTTTCCAACAGTGTCAAAAGCTCCAGAAAGGTTAAAAAAAAAAAAAAAAACAAGATAAAGTTGTAGAAATGTCTATTGGATTTGGCATGGAGGTGCTCCCTGGTAACAATGGCTAGAGGATTTTTGGTGGAACAGTGGAGAGAGGGGTGTGGGAAAGCAGAAGGCAGCTGACAGTGGGTTGAAGAGAGGATAGGAAGCAACAAAAGAAATTAGAATTACAGATAACATTTTAAGAGTGTGGCTGCAACACAGCAAAGAAGGATAAATCAGTATTTGGGGAAATGTAAAAATTAAGGAAAACTGTCCCAAGGAAATTAAGGAAAAGGTTAATATCACTGTCATTATCATTATAATAAATTTTCTCAAGCATATTTCCCTCTCCTCCCTTTTATTATTCGAAGTGGGATTAAACAATATTCTACTGTCAAGTAAAAGCAAACCCAGACTTAGGTAGGGAGAGCCTTTATGTGCAAGACTATTGCAAAAGGGAGAACACTCTGGCTATCATATCTGCATGCTCCTCAGAGTGAAGGCAGGAAAGAATTATTTTTATGTAGAGAAAGTAAAACAAGGCTAAAGAGAACTGGGTGTGGGGAGCAGGGCGAGCAGTTGGCGCAAGAGGGGGCCATTGAACAGGAAACCGTCCTCCTTACAGTCAGGTGACTTTCAGAAGGGTGGTTAACAGGGGTTGTGCTGAGTTCTAGTGCCTACTTAAGCGCATAGGAGGGGGTCAAAGTTCAGGCGCTAGGCAGGGAAGGTGAAAAGCCAGACTAAGTCTGGTCCAGTCAAATTAGCCAGCATTTTGTCCAGATTGTCCCCCAGTGGGGACAAAGAGTTCAGCTAACCATTTATAAATAAAGAGTGAGGATTTGGTCTCGTCAAAGGTAAATAGGCAGGTATCTGCATCTTAGCGAGGTGCATGGGGAAGAGTGGTTTTTCAGTGAGCTACTTCCAGGAACACAAAGAGTTGGGTATTTCTTAAACCTCGCTGGTCTGCAGAAGCACTGGGCTCAGTAAAGTTCAATGGTATTATGATGCCCATTTCACAGATAAGAAGACCTGGGCTCCTGGATAAGCAAGTGGCAGAGCAGGAAAGAAAGCTCAGGGCTTCTTGCTCAGAAGCTCCATTGCCTTTAGGCCAGGCTACCATGGCTCCCTGTCATCTGCCTCCTCGCCCCCTGCTGGTGTGTGCCTTCCATGTCCCACCCACCCTCCCCCGCATCTATGCCCAGGGACTGGTTATGGAGGACTCAGCACAAGGTTGCTGCTCCTAATAATGCCACTCATTATTAATGGTGTTCATTTCATTCTCTGCAAAACACTCGAAGCCATGGAGTGCCCCAGGGGAGCATGTTCTGAACAGACAGGCTGGGAGGAGAGGTGTGAGGGCAGTGATGACAGGGAGCTTCTCCTTGTTCTTGTTTTTAAGCAAGATGCCCAACAGCAGCCACAGTCCTGGAACAGCAACAACTTGCTCAAAAGCCATTTCCATTTTTAAACACTTCCACCCCCTCTGTCCTCACCTCCTCGGCCTAGGCTAGGAAAATCTGAGCCAATGCTGGCTAATAAAGGGGATCAATAACCATCCAGCTATTTTCACAGCAGCCCTCATATTAATGAAGCTGCTCTGGATGGAGTTCTAAAGGGGCCACATGGATGGTACTCTACCACGATAAATTGCCATGGGGTTGCCGATCACTAATGGAGTGTTCCAGGGTTGTGATCAATCCCAGGCTTCATTTGTCCCCACCTGCAGCCACACTGCCCAGGGGAGCAAACTGTTTTCCTCGGAAGGTTAAAAATACATAAGATATGCACACAATGCAGAGACAGAACAGGCCTTACACGGGGGATATGGTTTGGAAAGTTCCTGAAATGCTTCTCCTGAGCCAATACATGGAAATCATCAAGTTACTGCAAGGGGTCTTTCTCCTTCAGAAAGAATATGATTGAGAACTTCCCTTTCCTCATCTTCTCCAAGCAGGGATACCCCTTTCCTGCTTGGGTTTAGAATATCTGATGGGTACATCCTGCAATCACAATGCTATATAATGGTCCCACACCAACCAGTCACAGAGAGGGTAGAGAAAATGAGAAATTGATCCCATGGCCCCCAAGGCTACTTAATACAGTCCCTGCTCATCCCATCAGCCTCCTCTCTCTCTCTCTCTCTCTGCAACCCAGTCTCTTGAGATGATGTTTCAGTTTGTTGAATGAACCATATTCTCTCTCTTAAAATAGGGCCTGTTTGTGTCTTTTCTATTGGTTTTTCAACCCTTGTTTGCAGGGTTAACTCCTTAATCCTCTTATATTGTCTTAAACCTTTCTTAGGAAACTCATCCTCAGTATCCATATAGGTAAGCTCCACCTATTATGTCACAATGGTCCTTGAACTTCTATCCCTATAACACTCCCTACACCTACAATTGCTTGTTCAATGTCTCTCTTCTCAATCAGAATATAAGCTCCACGAAGGCAGAGACCATTTGTGGCTTCTTTTCTACTCTCTCCCTAGAGCTTAACTTAGTGCCTGGCACAGAGTTAAAGCCTACATGGGAGAAAGAACAGTTCAATGGATGAATAAAAGAAGGATCAAACAAGTGAATGGATTCATGCATGCATATATGAATGAATGAATGAGTGAATGAATGAATGAATGAATGAAAGAAACAACCAGGGGTAGACAGTTACCCACCTTCTTGTCCCATAATCCCTCCCACCTCGGTACTCATTTAACCTTTCATGATGTTTCCCAGCACCAGCTTGCAGACCCAAATCTTTGCAACATTACATTTGATATGTGTCCAACCAGAGACTTGGCTTTTTTCTGCAGCCTCATTAGGCAATGCAATTATATCCTGTCCATGTTCAGACTGAGATTCTAAGATCCATCTCCTCCAAGAAGCCATTGTTCACAAGGGATGGAGTCCACAGGGTAAGTTTTATGATTTTCCAATAAAGGAGTTAAAATGCCATCATTTGATATTAACATTATAGTAAAGTATTCCTTTTTAATTACTCATAGTGGCAGAAGGGAGCAGAAACATAGGCAGTGCATTTACATTTGGCATTAAAATGTGGAAAGAAGCATGAACTCCACGAGACTCACCTATGCACCTTTATGCACACGTACATAAAGTGTCTGGGCTCCCCCTGGGCACTTCTGAGCCTGTTCCTCTGTTTGGCAGTAAGGCCTTTGCAAGAGGGAGGAACTCCCAGAAGGGATTGAGTGCTAGCTCTCCTTTCCCTGGGAAGTGACCCCAGGTGATACAGGATGTATGAGACACAGGGAATCAAAGCTCTTGCCTGCATACCCTGCTGAGCGAGGCATAGAGAACCCAGGTTCAGGGCCATCAGCAGAGGCCAGAGCCCCACAGTGGCAAGTCAGGTTCAATGCCAGCTTGTCTCACAGGCAGAAGTCAAACCTCCCTGCCGCCCAACGTGGTGGCCTCTCCCTGCTGCTTTGTCGGACAGGACCCAGGGCAGCAGGTTGGACATACCTTGGGCAGGGAGTACTTGGGCAGCTTTATCTGGGTGAAGGCCTCTCTCCGATAGGACACATAGTAGCTGGCTCTTCCACCAGTTGTCACCTGGATCATAAGGGAAACAGAGAAGTCAGATGGCACCAAGGATCATGGACAAGTTGGAAAGTATTAGCTTCTCCATCAACAGCCACAATAGGTTTGTGATAACCTTTCAGAGAGTATCCCTTGCTGGCACTGAGCCTCCAGTTCCACAGCACCGAGTTGCTCCCATGTCATGACACTTAGACAACAAATGAACAATGACAACAATCTTTCCCAGTGGTTGGCATTTTCGGTGAGAGCAGAGACTCTATATTTGGTCACTGTGCTCTGCATATGTACACACTTAATAAATAGTTTCAACTGCAAACAGAAGCTACTGATGTGGGTGGGATGTACCGAAGATTGATTTATTCTGCCTTAAAATAAGTTTCTAATCCACTGTCATCATGACATGATTGTGAAATGGATTTTTTTTCTGAATCTAAATAACTACTATTGCTCAAAAGCTCTAGTTACTTCGAAATTAATTTCATTTCTGATCTGAGCACAATTTTTTTCCTTCATATTTACAAATCCATGCATTGAGTGGGTGTTTTTTGGTTCTTTCCATGTGCAAGTTACTTAAAGGAATCGAGGGTCAGAGGAAGAACTCTGGATATCGGGAAGTAAGAAATGCTGGGTCAGAGTCCCAGCTCCGCCATCTGATGGCTGCGGGAGTCAAACTCTGTAATCTCACTTGGGAAGGATGGATTCTTGTAGGAACCTGGAAACCACTCCAAGAAATGGTCCTCTGGCCTGGGCTTGTTGAAAAGTCCTGCCAACATGGCACAGCTCTGCAGATGGCTGCTCTCAGCCCAATCATCCTAACTCGGGGGGACATTAATATTCACCAGAGAAGACACCAGAGGCTGTTCAGAGAAAATAGCAGGATGACAATAGCAACCCGGCCGCTGTGCCGAGGAGGCAATTACTGGAGGCCTCCTCTCTGTTCTCACCAAGCACTTGCTGGAGATGGGCCAGTCCTCCCACTCCAGTCCAAACCTGGCGCCCATCCACAGCGGCTGTGGGGAGCAGGCGAGGTGTCATATCTCTATTGAAAACCACCCATTGCTCCTCACTCCAAGAGATGGCATCTTCCATGGCTCCCCCTAGCTCTGCACAGATTGGAAGCACACAGACTGCCAGGCAGAGCAAATGTTAGAGTCCACATGAAGGCAGAACCTTGGAAAAAACTTGGTGCAAAGACTTAAGCTATGAATCAAGAGGAGAGACTGGTTTGGTCCCTAGGGTTCAGCTCTATCCCCGCATCTCTATTTCCTAATTAGAGCCATTCATCTCTTGTGTTCCAGGACTTTTGTTTTTCTGGTTTTTCTTAAGATTTTATTTATTTATTTGAAAGAGAGAGCACACGAGCAGGGGGAGGGGCAAAGGGAGAGGGAGAAGCAGACTCCCCACTGAGCAGGAAGCCTGACACTGAGCTCAATCCCAGGACCCTGGGATCATGACCTGAGCCGAAGGCAGACAATTACCAGACTGAGCCACCCAGGTGCCCCTGGTTTTTGTTTTTTTGATAAGGCATCTGTTCTGAATCTATATCGTTCTGCACTGGCTTAGAAGTGGGTCATTCACATATTAAGATCAATGAGTTGCTAAGAAGTCTTTTTCTTTTTAAAATAAATTTCAACTGCATAGAATCAGATTAAAATATAATCTTTGGTACTAAATACACAATCACCACTAGTCCTTGCTTGATCCTATTTGTTTATTTTTCTTTCTCCCTCCCTTCCTTTCCTTCCTTCCTTCCTTCCTTTCCCTCTCTCTTTCTTATTTTTTTAAGTCCAGTCTAGTTAATATACAGTGTTACGTTAGTTTCAGGTATACAATATAGTGATTCAGCAATTCCATATATAACTCAGTGCTCCTCATAAGTACCCTCTTAATCCCCATCACCTATGTCACCCATCCCCCCACTCAGCTCCCCTCTGGCAACCATCTGTTTGTTCTTTGTAGTTAAGAGTCTGTTTTATGGTTTGTCTTTTCTTCTTTGTTCATTTGTTTGTTTCTTAAATTCCACATATGGATGAAATCATATGGTATTTGTTTTTCTCTGACTTATCTCACTGAGCACAATACTCTCTAGATCCATCCATGTTGTTGCAAATGGTTAGATCTCATTATTTTTTATGGCCGAGTAATGTTCCATTGTATATATATACCACATCTTCTTTATTCACTCATCTATTGATGGACACTTGGGCTGCTTCCATAATTTGGCTCTTGTCAGTAATGCTGCAATAAACATAGGCATGCATATCATCTTTTTGAATTAGTGCTTTAATCATAAATTATAAAACCAACACATGTATGCCTCTCAACCCAAGAACTGGAACAGTAGTTTTTAAACTTGAGCTGCATGAGAATCACTTGGAAAGCTGCTTAAAACTCAGACTTCTGGGCCCCACCTACAGAGTCTTTGAGTTGATCAATCTGGAGTGAGGTCCAAGAATTGTCTTTTCTAATGAGTTTCCAGATAATGTTGATGCTGCTGGTCTGGGGACCCCACTCCGAGCAGCTCAGAACTAGAACTTTAAAGGTAACTGACATACAGTTCTAAAGTGCTTCCATGCCCCACACCTGTCCTGACCCTGGCCTCCTTCTCAGATATAGCTATTTTCCTGATTTTGTGTTGACAATGATGCTAACGTTTTTTTTTTTAATTGGGGTGAAATTCCTATTACATAAAAATCACCATCTGAAGATGTACAATTCAGTGACATTTAGCACATTTGCAGTGTTACACAACTTCTACCCAATTCTAAATGATTTTCATCACCCCCAAAGGAGATCTCATACCCAGTGATGAAGTTTTTAAACCCCAAAGTATATGCTCTGGTCACTTATCATATGCTTAAAAAACAGCTCTCTACAGGACACCCTAAATGTCATCAAGCTTGCCTTGGGGAAGAAAAGCGGCATCAGAGAAGGCTAGTCCGTCACTGAATGCTGGCCAGAGCATGGCAAAAAAGAAGCTTCTCCTGAGAAGATCCAGTTGGCTCCATAGAGAATAAGGTGAGAGCATCGCCAAGCTTCTGATTGACACCATAGAACAAAACTGGGTCCCTTGCGGTTTCCAAATCACCAAGAGCCAAAGGAGAACAGAGTGTTCTCCTCAACAGGGTGATGGACCCCACCAACTCGGGAACTCAGCCCAGCCATGCCTGACACAGCCCTGCACAAGCACAAACCCTCTTTTTCACAAGCTCACACACACAACCTGAGGGACTCTGTGTTTGAGTAATCAAGATGGAGATTACACTTCAGATACATGATGGGACGAACCAAACTACTAAGGGGCTGATGAAGCCCCAGGAGCCCAGAGGTTCTTTCTGTACCTATGATATCAGAGTATCTCCCAGGGATACCAAGCCAGCTCCTACAGTTCTGCTTTGTCCTGGCTGTATCCTTCTCTGTACCTGTTACCATCTAATTCATGGTTTAACTTCACTGTAAGACCCATGGGTTCGTGGAAGGGTTTTGGATGCCACCAATGCATTACGATTTCTCTCTCTTCTCGACTCTGTTCTCTCTATTCCTACAGCCCTTTCAACATTTACTCTTGTGGGACACGTATTCCTTCGATCTTTCCTCCATGTCTTCTTATAACATTTCAACCTCCCTGATTCCTAGGCAGTGCTGGTCTCGTGGCAAGTGACTGCTGAATACATAATAATAAAAGTAATGACACAATGGTCATTGATGGAGTTCATCTGCCATGCTCCAGAACTCATGTAGCCATTATATAAATTATCCAGTCTAATCGCCATGACAACCCTTCAAAGACTATAAGGTACTGAGTGACTTGCCCAAGGTAAGACAAATTTGAACCTAGCAAAGTTTGGCTCTAGACCTGTTCTCCTCCTCCTATAATTAAGAAGGGTCTCCATTCACCTCACACATCTCACTATAACAACAATATATTTTCTTGACTTGAAGATGTTTTTTAAAAACATATAAAAACCTCCGTAACTGGCATGTGTATACATGTTTATCTTTCTTCATATTCCAGAAAATCTGTTATGACATTGATGGCATATCTTAAAAATGATGTCTTCATAGAAGAGAGGATGTGAGGTAATAAGAACAAGATTAATAATAACTACCATGCAATGAAAGCTTATTACACAGAAAATGGGACAATAAGCAGTTTATACACCACACTTTATTTGACTCTAATTATATATGATGTAATATATAGTACCTCTACAGGTCAGGAAATTGAGGCTCAGAGTGGTCAACTAACCTGCTCGACATCACACAGCTTTTCGTTGTTACAGCCAATCTGTGACCCCTCCCCTGTGTCCAAGCCCTTAACTAGGAATAGTGCATCCCCAAAATATCAGGTACAGAGCAGGGGCTCAATACTCACTGACTAACTGAGTAATGAATTGCGGGGATTAACCCACTCAACCAGAAACACTTTGAGTGTGATTTCCTCTGTTGTTTAGTGACTAAACCATGGACTCACAGAGGAGCTCTCCATTCCCACCCAGTAGGTGGTCACAGGAACTTATCTCCAGCACTCCCCGCTTTGGGAGCCAGATCCTCAGGGTGTTGGGAGGATACCAAGCTGATGCATTTGCTGCCTCTCCACTATTATTTGCATGACTCTCTGGCAACCACACAAGGAAAGAATGAAGTTTAGTGACTATTAATCTATTTTGATGAACTTTTCTCTTCCTCACAAGCAAATCTGCTGGCATTGTAAATCCCAGAGATTATTACCACTTTCCCTTTCAGTGACACCTTTTATTTTACATATGATGAATGTCATCCAATTATTTGCTCTGGGCCCATCCGTCATGCTAAACACTGAATTAGCTGGGTCTTTTCCTCACTAATGACTGGCTCGTTAATCTGATTTTCTGGATTTCCATTTTACAGGTTTAATTGGGCTCCTGGCCAGTGAAAATGATTCCTTTGGACAAATGCACTGACCATTAAACACATCTGTCTCTTCTGACTTGTTCCCATTCTTGCTGTAGCCAAATCTAACCTGACATATC